TATATTCATTCATTGGTTTAAATTTCACGAGCCTTAAGTCTTTATTAATTATTAAATATATTAAAATTGCGCTTCAGAAATATTTTATGTATAATATATATTTTTTTTATCGCACTCTGTACTAATTAAACTGCGTCAGACATATTAATGATTGAACTTGTGTTTACATTAAATCCATAGATTTCATAATATGCGCAAAACTAATTGACTAATTGCGCTAAGAGTGTTGAAATAGAACAGAGATGTTCACAAATCTCACTGTACATAAATTATCGCAGTTCACGTGCTTAGAGAACGTCCGTGATTCATGACTTAAGAGGATGGTAAACTCAATGTTGTGTTTTATCGGCTTTTTTAATTTTCCACTCATTTTGCACTCAATGATCGGTATAAAAAACGCTTCTCCAGAAAAGAAAAGAATAGAGAATGTTAAAGAAGTGAAAAGTTCAAAAACATTCAAGAAAAACAAAAAAAAGTTTATAAACCATTAGATATAGTCCACATTTTCACTTCGTATACAAAATTGGCAGTATGAATTCAAAAAAGACTATATTTTCGACTTCTAAAGAATGTCTCAAAAATGTTGACCAAGCTAAAGTGTGAAAATAGATTGCGTCAATCTGAACAGAAAAGTTATATACTATTTTACAAAATTCGCAATAGTTATTGAGTAGTTAATTAATAAATGTGACCCAATAAGCGCGCGGAAAGAGATGATCCGGACTTTGTAGGCGTGTAGGCTTATCAGCTGTAAAGAAAGATGGTTTACTTTATGCAATATCCAAACAACGACAGTAATTAAACAAGCGCGACGTGTGACGTATGACGTGTGACAACTTCTTGCGATCAACCGATATTCAGCAATACAAAGAAACCAGCGTAGAGATAAGAAAGTTACTTGCTTGCAATCATCTAATTCTCACAACGGTAAAATGCAGCAAACAGAAAAAGCGTGTGATACAGAAAAATAAAAAAGACATTTTCTTGTCCAATTAATAGTAATATTTTTTTATGACAAAAGGAAATAAGAGCACTATTAGTTTTTTATTTCTTCGCGGAAAGCAACTTTCTTACCACTTACCTGCTTTCTCCGTATCGCCGAATATCAGCTGATCGCAAGAATATCAGCTGTCACACGTCGCGCTTGCTTGTTTACTCTGCTTTGTTGTTAGGATATTGCATGAAGTAAGCCATCTTTCTTTAGAGACTCTATAAGCGTATGCTTCCAGAGTCCGGACCATTGCCTTCCGCGCGCTTATCGGATCACGTTTATTAATTAACTACTCAATAACTATTGCGAATTTTTCACAATGGTACATGATTTTTCTGTTCAGATTGACGCAATCTACCTTCACACTTTGGCTTGGTCAAAATTTTTGGAACATCCTGTAAAAACATAGACAAATATTTTGAGTGCTTTAAAAAGGCATTTTGAAGCTTGTAAGAAAAAACAGTAGAAAATAACAATTAATGTCGTTTTAGCAGAAGCACTGGCGAGACACATACGTTTATCCTTGTCTCTATCACGTCATCTATCCTTGTCTCGGTCCGACTGAGGGCGCTACTTACTGGACAGCGTAGCGGCTGACAAAGGAAGGCCGCGAACCCGAACTATTGGATTTAATGAAGTTTTGTGAATATTTAGAAGACCTCAATATATGACTAACGGTATGCACAATTCGTGCTCGTTTTTACTTTAAAGGTATGATTTTTGACTTCAAAGATAAAAGAATGCTTACACTTTTTTGCGTATATCTCTTAAAGTACAAGAGATACAGAAATATGTTTGAAACAAAAGTTTCACAGCAAGTTAATTGCTACATAGTGACATAAACAGAAATACAAAAAGGTTTGTTTATGGAAAAATAAATTTTTTAGTGTTGTTTAAAAATATTTCTTGTATTTCTGTGATAATAAAAGAAAAAGAATATTTTTCTGAATTCAACCATATATATATATATATATATTTTATGATAGATTGTTTTATAATGCATTTACATGTCGAAAATGCTTTATCCAGTACGCGTATTTACACATTTGATATTTATATTCTCTGATTCATCTGACCTGTATATTGATACATAAAGATAAAGGATTAAGCAGTAGGGCTGCAATTATTTGAAGAAATAATTCAGATATCCAAATAGTGACGTCATCGACTATTCGTAATCCAGATAGTTTGAAGTATCCGGATTTCGAATAGATAAGAAACAAATATTCGGATACTTTTACACTTCGAATAAAACAGATAGAACAATTCAAATAATGAAAATGGCATTGTAAGTCAAACATGTAACTTGCGACACTTCTCCTTCACTATTTTAAGATTAAACCTTACATTTATAATTGTGTGTATATATATTAATGTTTATTAATATATATATACATATATACAGAGTGTCCCGCAACTCACGACCGTAATTTAAATGACGTATTCCTAAGACGATTTTGAGACAAAATTTCTAATATTATATTATCGAGACTATAATAGTTTTTGAATTATAAGCGTTTAAGAGACCTATGAGATGGCCTCTCGAGGAAAAATAGAAAATCATATGATTATATAAGATTATATGTGGATCGGATGTAATTTTGTATGATCGTGTAAACTTTTACATAAGTCGAATATGATTTTATATAAGTTGGATATGATTTTATGCGATCGTATAAAATCAGATTTGAAATTTGACGCAATCTGATTTTAAATGATCACATATAAATATAAGAAATCATATACTATCGTACATAATTTTATGTATTTATAAAATCAGATCGCGCCAAATTTCGGATCTGATTT